TGAAAAAAAATGGTTGACAAATGCTTAATCTCCGCCCACACGACTACCGTTGTCAATCGTTTTCGCGGTTGCGGAAAAGAATGTACCCTATGATTTTGAGGGACAGGGAACGATACACAACTGTCGCCAGTCCCACACTGCATTTCTCGCGAGAGGGGGGGGACCACTGGTATGATGACACGTTGTGGATTTTTCCACGCTCATTCTTTTTTACCTCTCTATTCTTTTTTAAAACCATAGACAAGTCCTGAACGATGCACATAACCCGGTGCAGTGCATCCCAACACACAGGAAGTGCGCTTGGCGATCAAAGGGGGGCGGTGACGTAAAATCGTTTGATAACAGAGACGAGTTGACAGTAATTTATATTCCCTAGCTGGCTTCATATATGTACGAGGTTAAAGAGAAAAAAAAAGAGTGGAATAAAATGGGACAAAGTGGTGGAATCGATTGAGAGAAAAAAATGTCCCCTCTTTATTTTTTTTTTTCCACTCTTTTCCACGAAAGCAATCTGTCCATATCGTAAACCGCAATCTGATTTCAAACGCCAGGTGCACTTTTCCCGAGTTTCCTTCGACAAAGTGAATTTAATCTTGGCGATTTTTCTCGAGTCGTCAAGTCCACTGGTTTTAAATCCCCTGGATAATACCCAGCGGTGAAAATGCTCTGCGATGGGAGAGAAATACCGGTGGAAGAGACACTAAAGGAACTGGCACTCAGATCGGTTATCTGCATCTGGTAATTACTCACAAATGTCTCGAAGGAAAAATAAATAAAAAAAAAATGAACGCTTGAGAGATGGACAGAAAAATTATTCTACAAGTTGCGGGGGTAAAGCGACAAATGATAAATGACGAAAAATGCTGGGGGGTGTTCTGTGGCTGTGCATCGTCCTTATGGGTGAATCCCCGCCCTCTGACATTGGCATTTGGGCTTGAGATCAAAACGATATAATTATTGTGCTCGTTATGATCAGATGGGAGCATTCAAATTCCTCTGGGCGAATTGTGTTTCGAGCCCATATCAATTAAACAATTATACATCCGTGTCCTCAGGAGTTGGCGCAATTAAATCCTGTGGAGGTGCTTCAGAATAATTCGTCGACAGCCGGAAAAAAAAAGGCAGACATTTTGGCCGGTCCTTCAAAAATCATGAAAAATCGTATGTTTTTGCAGAAAATTCTTAGAACATCCCTTTCCTTGAACTCCCAGGAAGTTGAACTACTTATGCATGAGATTGTAGCAAAGACAGCGGAGAAACGTACGAAAAAGGCTAAAACTCTAAGTCGGCTTAAGAATACCCGCAGGGACTGACGGGTGCAAGGTTTGGCTTAATTCCCGTAATCTTCGTGTCAGTGTAGCTCCCACAATCCTCGAATATTCTGGAACATCGAGTATATAGGTGTAAAGCGAATAATAACCCACCTTCTCCCTCATTTTTTTTTCTCAACTTTCGATCCGTAATCATTGAGAAATGGCTTGCGGGGGTAGCTCCAATCCCGGGATTCGATAATTACCACCGGGAGTCGAGTAGGCGGCCCAAGAAATCCACATAATCGCAAACTCCCAATCACTACCCACCCAACATCACTCCCATTCGTTATCACCGCCCGGAATGATTGAAAAATCATTCTTCAAATTGTTTAAAAAATTATCCATGGAGTAACTTCTTGCAAAATGAATTGGTGGCGGCACAACAAAACCACCTGCACTGCATCACCTGCTCCAAATATCATCCTGTGCACGCAATTTCGACGAAAAATGCGTGGAAATGTAACGTAAAAATGAGAACATGAAAGGATCATAAAATTAAGGAGAAGAAATTAAAAAAAAAAAACGAAATTCAGTGGAAACAAAAGAATGAATAAGAGTCGTAAAACGAAAAATGTGTATCATACGTAATTGCAATAACATTGTGAATCCGTGCATGAAGATTTCACTCTCCCAACCGTTGCATTTCCGGTTTACGTATATATTTGAATTTCCTGTCAGGTGGAGATATGAGAATGAGGGACTTTCTTATATTCTGTTGCCGTGGCTTTTGTCGACCTGTTTTGTCTTGACTCGGAATATTCGCATTGTTGTTCAGCGGCTGGCCTCGATCACTTCACTCAAACAATCTTGATACATCCTCCTCCAATTAATTAAATTCCTTGATTGGTCAGGTGTCACGACTTTATCAGTCCCAAAAAAATATATAGAAATTATATAGATCCTCAGGGCTCAATTAAAAGTGATTAAAAATCGAAAACAATTCAGCTACCAATGTTTTGGAGGTTTCAGTTTAGCCCGTTGTTTTGCGTTTGTTTTTTCACATGGAATTATTCACGATTTTTTGTGGTATTTCTGTCTGAGCCTGACTCCGGTGTAAGAAATGCTGAGGGGGTCTGGAATATTGTCGGGGCAATGTCTTTGCTCTCGTCGCGGATGAACGAGCTTAGTCGCGATGGGCGTGGCAGCCTAGAGTCAGAGAGCCGTGACGCACTGGCATATAAAACATGTACGTACTAAAGTGTGTAACATTGGCTTTTGTAACAAACACATGGATGAGGAACGCGTGCGCGGCCACGAGCGTGACACGGGGCACACGCTTTTATATTGGGCATGCGCCCCAGGCACTTTCTCTTCGACGGATAATACCTTTGGTCTGGTACGTATGCAAAATTCAAAGTCCCCCGGTGTCTGGAGGGGCGAGGGGGTGATTTTCCCTCTTCTCCTATCCACTTTGACGTCGCTTGACTTCAGGAATATCGCGGCAACGTGTCGCCGGATGCTGGGGCGGTGACGCGTGACTGTATTAATAATTCGTAGCACGTTGGTGGAAACCAGGGGGAAAGGGGTGGAGGTTCAGCTTCAGGAGGAAAATCGGGGGAAGCATTAAATTGCTTGTGAAAGTTGCCAATGGAATTTGAAGTCCCAATTTTTTCCCTTTCCTTTTATTTCCGCATTGAAGCATTGTCATCGCTCCATTTTAATTGGGCAATTTTCCCTAATTCCGTGATCAGCTTTCGACTTGAGAATTTAATTAATTCTGGATTTATTACTGGGACTTTTGAAAAATCAATTTTTCAGAGTCTGGCGTTCTCTGATTTTTTTTTGGAAAGGTTTAGCTCACATGGGAAAGGTTAATTCACATTTATTCTATCTGATTAATCTCGCATAAATGACTTTCCCATTGACAGATTGAAAAGCCACCAGTGGGTGTAGATAGCACCATAAATAACCGATTTTTCCAATTTTTTTGCCGATGAAATCGTAGATCACATGAGATTTAAATTTTACGAGTAGAGGTCTCTCCTACCTCGTTACATGTAAGGATCCACCCACTCACCCGGGGCTGGCCATCGAAGAAATATTGAATTCAATGAGCAATATGCACTCTCGCACGCAGGACAAGTCTTCCAAGAGACCAAAAAAAAAAAAAAGAGTATAGACCCACGCGAATACTGCGAGTATCGGAAGATCAAGATTGTTATCGAATCGAGTCTCTCCCTCGCATTGTATTAAGGTACTGAGTGAGTTTACGATTGAGTGCTGTGGACTCGTCGTGGGCGCAAGAGAGCCTTTTATCGAGATGAAACGCACAGAGAAGCATTATGGCACTGCGATTAATTTTTTCAGCATTTTTTTTATCATCCATTTGTCAGCCGCTGGCAATTTCCGTGTCTTTTTATCGAGAGCATGTGGGCGATTATTTTCGAAATTTGTCCCCCCAGAGGATTGAAATAATTAATCGTTCTATCAGTTCAGGGAAGATGCGCGTAGATAGTCATCCTTATTGGAATGAGGAAAATTAAAGCACTGAGGGTGCATCGATATTGCATTAAAAATGGAAGGAGTGAGGGCTATTGGTCCCCTGGGGCGTCTCAGTCCGGATGACGTATATTCTCGCCTCGTATGCGGTCACGAATGACCGCGCGTGTCCAGCGATGTAAGTAATGACAATGCGATGACTAGCCGGACGCTAAACACCTGCGTTCCACCGTGTCTTATCTCGCAGATACCTGCTGTTAGGACCCGATATTTTTTTTGCGCTATAGATTTACCTCGAGTCCCTCAACACGGATGATACGTCGATATTGGAGGATTCCCGTGCAGACACTTTGGGTGGTCTCGGAAAGTGCCGTCACGATGGGACGTCGTATTGCCTGTGGCGGTTATAATCCCATTGTTGTGGCAATCTGTTAGTGATTCATAAAAAAATATACATTTTTTTTTTTTTCACTGAATCATCCGAAATTGAATGAAAACGAATTCAGACTCCAGGACCTCGGGGAAGAGGTTCGCACGAATGCATGGGAGGTGGAATAGGAAAGGCTAATTCATAGGAAAAGGGAATTCAAAGGGGAATGAAGATGAATAAAAAATAACAATTCGTTTCATACGCAAGGTTTTTCTGCGCACAGCGACTTTTGCTGTCCCACCGCTGTAACCCCCGGGTATAAAATTCGCGAGTCCCCTCATCGCACCCACACACGTACACAATTTACATTGGCCCTAAACAACGATATTTTCCATCCTCCTCTGCATCTTAGGTTGCCGCGGAGTTCTTCACAAGCGCGCGAAGGCGTGGTCGAGAGACGCGCGACGTCCATTTGTCTCGAGCGCCTCCCGCACCAGGAACGCCCTCGCATCCCACGGGCATCGATCACGTCTCTCTCCCCTTATATATCTCCAGAAACCACTTGAGAATTGTTACCACCATTTCCCTAATGCTTACATTACACATACATACTCTGAGATTACTTCGAGAGAGAGAGAGCGAAGTAGTTTGTATTTCGGCATGGCCGAGAAAAGCCGATGGACACTGTACCGAGGTTACACCTCTATTTACTTGACAATAGCCTAATCCCGTGTTTACGACCTCGACTTAGCAACAGAATTCCGCCCTGAACACACCTTTCGAAAATTTTCTAACACCCACATTTGATTTTACACTTACTATTTATTATTATTTCCATTTAACTCGAAATAATTGAATTCATAATATTTTTGTTTCAGCCGGTAAGATTGGCGGTATCTGAAACACTAGGGGACGAGATGTATTTACCTCTTGGTATGTAAACAAAGGTGGAAAAAAAAGTCAAACAAAAGCGAGAAGGCTATTTCGCCAAGTATTCGTTTCTCATTATTATGCGATCGATGGAGATACATTTGGAGAAAAGTGGAATTTTCTATAGGCACTGAATATGCCATCCCCGAAGAGGGATAAAAAAATGCATGAGCCTGAGGAAGGCCCTGCACGCGATGTCAGTGGAAATAAACTTCGGCGTGTTTTGCCTAAGGCCTGACCCCGGCCACCAACTAACGTTGGCAGGATGTCGCCGTTTGTGCACTGTGCGCGTAGTTGTTCGCGTGTCTACCATAAATTTCTTGAGGAATTCACGGAAGTAACCAGAGTGGGATTAGATAAAGATATCGAAATTAGAAGTTATTTCGTGACTATTCAAAACTTTTTCACGCTAGACATTCCCTAATTGTTTCAATAATTTTTTTATCCAAATCACTTGTTGCACACTTGAGAATTATTTCAATAATTCGCGACTACAAGACAGGGATTGCCTCTCTGATATTATAGGCTTCCTCCCTCTTCAATGAAAAATATAACTTGTGCCGGACCAACTCAATACTTTTCTACTTAATCATGGAAAAAATAAAACCGAATGGGCGAAGCAGGCGTTGCCCGTGTATTTGACACATTTTCAAAATGTCTTACTGGTACTCACAATAATGAGCGTACGTGAATGCATCCAAGTGGCAAAAGTCAAGTGAGAGAAATGCATATGCATGAGCCAATTGATATGAATGCATCGGTGCATGCCGTATACCAGACTATATCTTGCCTGAATTTTTATATCAGATCCTATTTTTCCTTTCTACCGTGGTGCATATGGATTTTTAATACATGTCTATACAGCCGCACGCGGAAACACCGTGCGAATCTCTAATTATCGGCAGGAGTCTCTTCCCGCCTCTCCCTCGCTCATTAACGACCGTTAGCCCCTTATGAGCTGACGAGGCAGGGGAGCCTCGTCCTCTCCAAAGTCCCCAATTTTTAATAATGACACTCTGATTAAATCTACATGGGCTTTATTAACACTGAAAATGAAACATTAATAATCTTTACCCAGCGGCAAATTGTCGGTATAATGTCGGTTTTGCAAAATTCCGCTAAAAAATCGAAATACTTCAACTTCAATAATGAATAATTCATCAACGTTGATGGCAATTTTATTTTTGTACCTTTTTCGGGAATTGTGAGTGGCTCATCATAAATATATTAACCTCCTCGCAACAATACCCAACGATCCTATCTCCGAAATTTCATCGCCATACGCGTGGGAGGATTTTTTGCATTCATCCTGATCTTAACTTGAATGCATTATTTCAGATTTTGTTGGGAAAGTCAATTTGAAAAATTCATTATTCATAGCAGGCAATTTGTCACGTATAGCGACTATAAATTTCGAATGTATGTGTTCAAAATGAAATGCATCCAATTATTAATTATCGACACCCGTATGACCACAAATGGCAAAAAAAAATGGATACCATAACTTCTAGCTTCATGACGATAAAAAGAAGAATATAGAAAACTGGATTTAAAAAATATTGTTGCGTAGAAGTATCAATTACCCACTTGTCCACCATACAGACGGGCAATTAGTTGAGTTGATACCCTCATAAAAATCCTCGAGTTTGCATACTGGACAGGACTCTACACCCCTCGCCAAATGTTTAATATATCCCTTACACCAACAGAGAAGCGACAAAAATACGGGCTAAAGGCTTGAACGTTGATGAAGTAGTACAGTCACGCTATAATCAACATGGCCATATATGAAAAGGAGATTGAAAGATTGAAAAGTGACGATGGTAAACTCGAAGCAGTAAATGTCTAGTGTAACCTCGCCAAACCATTCTTGATGCTCTGTAGTAAAATGTGTAGGGTTCCTTCACTCGATTGAGATACATCAATTCCATCGTACAACAATTCCAAGTACCACAGAAATATTTAAGAAATGAATTTTTGATACCTCGAATTCTCGATCGAGTGATCGAAGACCAATCGCGATCCTCGCTACCATTCGCAGTCACATGGAGGCCACTTGACGGCAGCTGTGCGAACGATAACATCTCGAGGAGAGCAGCTGCCTCCCATCTTCGAAAGGTGAATTATTGAGTGAGTGACCATCGATTCCATATCCATAGGTATTAAATTGTTGTTATATGAAAAAAAAATTGATCCGTTTTGAATTCACCCTGAGGGGAATGGTCCATCCAAAATTAATGAGACGAGCTCATGATTTCTGTTATCGATAAATCGGTTAGATAAAATTTGCATCGCTAACTCTGCCACACAGTTCAAAAGTTCACTGCTCCTTGTAGAAAATATTACAAAAACAACAAATCCTCACATTATTTCCATAAGGCAAAATTATATATTCAAGCACTTATGCAAACAAAAATAGGAATTAACTTGTCACATGCTGCTTACACTGTTGCTTTTCCTCTGAAGCATGCTCTCGTGATGCCGTTGATCTCCAACTACATTACCTTTCCACGCTGCCTTCGTGATGCAAATTTTCATTTGAAAAATTCACCTCCTTCATGGGGATAACAAGTAAAGTGTTTTTCACCACAAATTCTCTACGATACTTTCTCAAAGTACACGAGGTACATGATAACGATAATGATGATGAAGAAAGAGTTCCTTCAAGGAGTTGATCCTTCACGAATAAAATACCCCGCGGACGAGAACTCGGTTAGAATGAATGAACGCGGTAACGTTATACGTAGACCGGTAATTATGACTCCTCTAATCACCGGTAATTACTGCAGTAACAAACCTAGCGGGCGTTATCTCGACCGGTCTAAAATAGCTGTGATTTTTTCTGTGACTGGCAAGTGGATTTTTCTCCATTCACTCTATATCAAATTTCCCAATTTTCCCATAGTAAAAATTCACGAGAAAACTCGAGAATTCTGAGGAGTCTTGAAATGCCACTATATTATCTGTGATAAAATTATTTGTTACAAATTATTCATGTTATATAATATGAGTTTAATAAATCTTTTCATCATCATAAATTAAGGAAATTTTCTAGTTTTAAAAACATACCTCGAGGCGATTTAGCGGGATCTGCTCCACTTTGATGCTTCTAGCACTCACCTCCATCTTCATACACCTCTTCTCATGACGTCTGGCAGAGAAGCAACCTAACAATTAAAATCCTCGTGAAACAGACCTGCTATTATTACTGAGTTATCGTTTCTAGACGAGGGAACTATGAACGAATGTGAGAGATAAGTGGGCGTGTTCGATGCCGATGTGCCATTCTAAAGCATTCGAATCTTTCCAACGTGTTGCACTTTTTTGACGAGGGAAGAAAAATCAGACAATGAACAATTGGCGCACAGCAACAATGATATCATTCTTTTTGGGGATTCTTTTTGAAGGTAGTGGAGTGTGATACAATTATTTGGATGGTGGGAATGCTCGTGTGATTGTCAAAGGCGTGTGACCACTAAATTAGGCGAATCCATCGATGCAAATCGAATAGTCCCGATGATTCTGACGGAAATAATCCAATTGGAGATGGTTTTATTTCACCTCAGGCAACATTCTCATTAACAATTAATTTCTAGGAGCAAAGGGGAAAAAATTCAAGAATTCACAACGTTAAATAACACTTGGGAAAATATTTTTTATTAATACTCGGGTAAAAAAAAATTGTAATCAGAATATTTTTTTGAAGATTTCAAAAAATTTTTCAAAACCTTTCCAAAAAATAAAATTATTTTGTCGCCCGATTTTTTTGTTTAAAAAAAAAAATTTTCTGAAAAGTTTTCCAGGAATTTTTGCAAAATTTGGAAAACATATTCCGATTGCAATTTTTTTTACCTGGGTGGGAATACGTGAAAAGGTCATTAATTTTCAAAAAAAAAAATCTTCTCATTTTTCTCATCAATCCAAATGCGTCTATCCAACATATTCAGGCGCCACCCAATCTCTTATATGTTAATCAAGCGAGATGTAAGGACGTGCATAGAAAGATACGCGTACCATTATGAGGATATTACCAGCTGCTAACGCGCCGTCTAAATCACTATTTAATAGCAGGCATGTGAAGTCTGTATAGAGTGCCGCACAAACTCTCTACGGAGCTCTCATTCTGATGAACTATCTCTATGTACGTACATATCCACTGATAATCGGCCCACTGAAACCAGTCGAGTGGTTTTTGCTGACTCTATACGCGTCTTACATATTCATTCATCCGGAAATTTCATATTGGAGTTTCATTGCGTGTAAAAGGCATTTTGAAAGGTTTATCATCATATCAAAATACATTAACCTCAGATATATCATTCAAACCACAAACGTTTATAAACATGCATTAATCCATGAATAATGCAACAGATAAATTTAATTACTTTGACAGACAGCCTTAATCTTTATTTTTTTTTTCGAGTGCAGTACAGGAATTAATGACTCGATGGAAAAACATGGCACTGCTATTCCTGTACCAATCGCTTTATGTATTGGTAGGGCGTAAATAAGGGTATAGATACTTTACTCCGTGACGCAGGTACCTGTGAATGGCAATATCCAACCTGGTAATGTCAACTCGGCTACATGGTGGATATTGGTATGAGTGTGTTGCCCTGTAATTGGCAATGGTCGGGCTGTAATAATTATTGCTACCGTGAGGCTCTGTGATCAGCGCGGTCACATGGATGAGCCAACTACATACAGATATATCCAATACATATTGTATGCAGGGGTTGGGATAACTCACGCGTGAGTGAAAATCCCTCTGGCACTAACCGGGTCAAAGTGTACGGCAATATACCATCTATGGTGTATCGTGAAAAGTGCCCCTCGTCAACGTTACATTGTAGGTGCGTTGCAAAGGGGGATGACGGTTTTATAATCAACTGTCGGTGGGACGATTCTCGTTACCCGCATATTCAATCCAATTTTATTCACCGCACTCACG